TGTGACAAGTAGACCCTGCAGGATCTGGGCCCGCTCACCCCCGCAGGCTCATCTCCATCACCCCCTTGGCTTGCTCCACTGGGTGGCACCCACCCCTTCAATCCCCACAAGTTCCCACAGCAGAGTTCCCACCTCCTGAATGCCCCACAGCGCCTTGCACTTGACTAACTCCTACTCATCCTTTAGGGCTTCAGGCCACACATTTCTTTTCCCAGGAAGCCTTTGATGAATCCTTGAAATTGTATCTTTCTGTTTGTTTTGAGACAGGATCTCTCTATGTAATTCAAGCTGGCCTTGAACTCCTTATGTAGCCCAGGGCTGGCCTCAGACTAGTGACGATTCCCCTGCCTCAGCCTCCAGAGTGTTTGGATTATAGACGTGCGGTAGCACATCCAGCCTGAAATTGTATCTTGCTGATACATGTGTCTTTTTCTCATTCTTACCAGCCCTCTGTCACTCACAGTGATTTGTGTTTGTATTGACTTATTTAATGGTAGACCTTTTTTTTCCCAGTGCTGTGGGTTGAACCTAGGGTTTTGAGCATGCTAGGCAAATGCTCTACCCAATCCTTGTTATTTTTCATTTGAAACAAGGTCCTATTAAATTGTTAAATTACCCAGGCTGGGCTTAAATTTGTGATCTTCCTGCCTCAGCTCCCAGAGTGTTGGGATTATAAGCATGTACCACCATGGCTGGCCTATTCCACTTTTTAACTCCAAATTCCCTGCTATGTTTATTAACCCTATAAGACTGAGCGCTAGTTTAGCTGTCTCAGTACCATGATTCAAACTCTGAATCCAGACTCTGGAGCCCACACTTGTTTTTTCTGGGCTTTTGTTTTTGTTTTGAGACAAGGGCTCAATACATAGTATAGGCTGGTCTTTAACTTGCTATGCAGCCTAAGCTGGGCTCAAATACAATCTTCCTGCCACAACATCCTGAGTGCTGTGATTACAGGTGTGTGGTCACCCTCTGAATCACTCTGCCAGATCACATCTGTTCATTAGTTTGGCACATGTTTTCAATTAAAATTTTTTCTTTCTTTCTTTTGACTCATGCTTTTGAGTACTGGTCAGGTACCATTGGGTACAGGGCTTATCTGAGCAAGCTGCCTTCCAGTCCAGCTCCCTGAGGATACATGTGTTCTCTTCACTATGGTATTCCTACTTTCTAGCACAATGCTTGGTACTGTAAGATCGACTTACTAGTGGACTGTCCCTCTGGACATCTCTACATGGTTTTCATTCCACCAGGAGGGGAAGAGCCTACAAGTCCAGAGAACCTGTCTCTTCTAGCTCCATTAGCATTGCAGTGGTGAGGCTTACTGACTTTTCAGAAACTTATTCTACCCCCTCAATAAAGCAGGGTGGTATTCATTTGGAACTGAGGGTACAGGTACCATCCCTGCAGCAGCCCTGAGTAAGTTGCCTAGGGCCCAAGGGCTTTGGAAGCCTGGGCTGCTGAATCGCCATTCTAGGGACTCTTAAAATGCAGCCGAGTACCCAGCTCCTGGCAGCCAAGGGCTCATTTCTTGCTCTTCTGTGCAGGCTCAGATGTGACTGTCCAGCTGGACACAGGAGAGCTCAGCCTCTTATTCCAACTACCATTTGGCTCACACACCAGGATGTTCCTCCAGGAAGTCGCCAGAGCCTGTCCTGGTAGGTAAGACCCCAGGGTCCCTGGGAGGGCTGGTGAGCATGGGCCTCTCACCCGCTAACCTACTCCAGCTGACTGTCCATCCTTTGGACTCACTGCACAGATTCTGTGCCTTCTCCAAGCTGCTGGCATGAAGCTGCAGTGCCCCCAGTCCACCTATCAACCATGGCATTTGCATTTCTGCTTCTGTTTATGGTTTCTGAATCTAGTGTTAACCATGGCAGGGCCCCTTTGCTCTCCCGGCTCTGGGCAGGGCTGCACAGGGCAAGTTCTGTGACCTTGTACAGGGCAAGCTGTTGGCAGGGCCAGCAGCTTCTAGGAGCTCATCTCTCTCTCTCAAGCACCCACCCCCAGAACCAACGGAAGTCTGTCATATGGGCTCCCATGCCCTTGAACTCTGCTGTCCTTCACTGCAGCTGAGAAGATGGTCTAGCTTTGGTCTCATAGTGAGACATTAGTGGACTCTAGGACAGAATTTGTTTAGATCAGAGATTGCCTGGCAGGTGAAGGTGAGTTTATGTATAGAGCAGAGGATCAGGTATGGAAAATGCAAATTCAAGCCACCAGGTGCTGGGGCCTAGGGAGTCACCCATTACTGGTGGTTTCCCTTCAGGGTAACATCTCTGTAGGAATAGGAGAGAGCTTGTCTTCTATGGTGGTTTCACTACGGAGCCCAAACCCTGGGGGCTCCCAACGATTTCACTTGATCCGCCAGGAAACGTACTGGCTTTGAGGAAAAGGAAGTAGCAACAAGATGACACAGCCATAGTGGCCAGTTAAGGAGTTTAAAATTTATTGTATAAACGGGAAATTTTATCTCTAAATCTTTGTTTGTTTGTTTTTTGTTGTTGTTGTTTTTGGTCCAGGGATCAACTCAGGACCTTGGCTTGCAAGGCAGGGGTGGTACAACTGAGTTATCTCTAAATCTTTTTTTTTTCTAAATCTTAAGATAATTTATTGTATGATTATTGGTAGTAGTTCTAGGAGGCGGTAGTAATAGTAATGCAGGTTGACCATTTCTAACCCTAAAATCCAAATGGCTCCAAAATCCAAAATGTTCTGAGTGCCAATATAATGCTACAAGTGGAAAATTCCACACCATGAAGCTTTGTTGTACCTACAAAATTATTTAAAATATTTTATAAGCCAGGTGTGGTGGCACATGCCTGTAATGCCAGCACTCAGGAGGCTGAGGCAGGAGGACTGCCGGGAGTTCAAGGCCAGCCTGGGCTACATAGTGAGTTCAAGCCTGGCCTGAACTACTTAGCAAGACCCCATCTCAAAAAAAAAAAAAAAATAGGGCTAGGGATATAGGTCAGTGTGAATCTATATAGATAGATTTGTTAATAATATATATTATTTAATTTAATATATAAATATATAACATGTTGATATTAATATAACCTGGAATATTATAATACACAATGTTAATATATATTTAATATATTAAAGTGTATATTTAGTATACTTAATATAGAATACATATTTAAATTTTACATGGATCAAATTTACCTTCAGGTTATATGTATAAGGAGTGCATGAAACATAAATTTTGCATTTAGACTTGGGTCCCATTTCTTAGATATTTCACTATATCTATGCTATCATTCCAAAATCTGAAATCTGAAACTACTGGTCCCAAGCATTTGGGATAAGGGATACTCAACCTGGAAAGCAAATAGCACGAGCTCTGAAGCTAAACAGAGCCTTGAGTTTGAATCCGTACCTGTCAATCCTTAGCCATGTGATTTTGGGCAAGCCACTTTACCCTGCTGAGCTTTAGTTTTTGTAGTCTTTTGTATCTAATGACTATCTTCTTCTTGGGGTTGTGAGAATTAAAAGAAGTTACACATATAAAAGTGCGTACTATACAGGGAGCTCAGAAAGTGTTGGGTCCCCTCTGTGTAAAAGGAATGATAGCCAGCATTCACTGGTGATTCATCATGTTAGACATCATTCTAAGACCTGTTCACACATCTCTCCTAATTCTTAATACAACCTTACACAATAGGTATTATCAGTTTTTCCACTTCACAGATGAGGACACTGAGACTCAGAGAGGCTAAGTGCCTCGCTGAGTACATGGCTAGTGAACTGTACAGCCAAGTTAGGCAGGACTGGCTACAGTAGTTCTACTAGTCTGAGCCTTCCTGTTTTGCTCTAATGCTTGATTAGTCTCCTGGTCCGTACCACCCTCTCTCTATATGTCAGTGGTTTAGGGAAGGCTTTGTGTAAAAGGGGTGTTTTTCTTTTCTTTTCTTTCTTCCTTCCTTCTTTCTTTCTTTCTCTTTTTTAAATCTTTGAGGCAGGGTATTGCTATATAGTCCAAGCTGGCCCTGAACACACTATGTAGCCCAGGCGGGCCTCAAACTCATGGCAATCCTCCTGCGTCAGCTTCCCAAGTGCTAGGATCACAGGTGTGTCCCACTATGCCCAGCAGGAAGTGATATTGAAGCTGAGATTAGAAGGAAGCATAAGAGGTTTTTCCCAGGCAGGCAACAAGGAGGAAACAGGCATAGCAGTGGTTGGGAAGAACAGGCCCTTTGGTGGGACTGAACTTGGAGTAGGAAAGAGCTGAGTCAGGGGAGGGTGGCACAGGGCAGCTCATGAAGAGTCTGTGTGTGTGTGTGTGGGGGGGTAATGTGGTAGTGAGGATCAAACCCAGGGCCTCACTGCTGAGCTATATCCCCATCCCATTTTTTATTTATTTATTTATTTTGAGACGTCTTGCTAAATTGCCCAGTCTGGGCTCCAACTTGCAATCCTTCTGTCTCAGCCTCCCTCAGTACTGGAATTACAGCTTGGCGGCTAGTAGTGTCTTCAATAAATGACAAAGAAGTTAAACTTTGCCCTGTGGTTTACAGTGAATAGTTAAGGAATTTGAAACTGGGGAGTGATTTGGCAAGTTAGGAAAACTTCTCTGGTAAAGTTAGTGGAGGGAGAGTCTGTCGCAGACCAGCTACAGTCGATGTAGGGTAGGAAGGGGAGATGTCCTGGGCCGCCGATGAGAAAAGAACCTTTACAAGCGATGTTCAGGTTCCCTCTGAGAAGTCTCAGGGTCTGATTTATTTTTATATCTTTAAGCAATAGCTAAGAGGCATTGGGCGGAATATGTTTAGATTTTTGGTTACCTTAGCAATATCTAGTGAGGTAAAGGTTATTTTTGCTAAACAGTATATTTTTTCTAAGCTGATTCATTTCATTGAACACCATGAATACATTTCTTAAAAATTACAATTGTCCCCTTATTTTCCCATACCTAAACAGAATAGAATGTAACTTAATCAAAATCTCCAGAGAGTAACTTAATCAAAATCCCTATATCAGCGGGGGTACAAGCAAGATTTAATTAATTAAATGTCAAACTTGTGGTCACCAGCTAGCCCTTGAGAAACTGTACAATGGTTAATATAGTTTGCTATTAGCTATTTTTCTATACCTCTATTTATCTTACCTAAGTGTCATTTGGGTTCATAGTCCATGAGCAGGAGATATTTGCAGCACTTTGAGAAATACTGAGTAACTTGCCCCCTTAATGTGTTTTCCTGTCTTAACTTTTTTTCTATTTCCCATTTCCCACTATTTCTTACATCTAAAGTCTATCCTTCCAATCTCTTCATAAGACCCCTTTAGTAAAAAGAATGTGAGCAATAAGAGAGGGAGTTATAGTAGTGGGAAAACAGAGGGGGGTTTTAGGAGAGGTTTTTTCAGACATAGATGAGGTAATAGAACTAAGAGAAACTGGAATTTGGGACTTTTGAGCCAGATCAGATTTCAATACATCATTGCCAATTTGCCTCATGGAGAGTTTGTTGTTAGTCACAAACACAGTGACTCCTGTGACCAGAGTAACAATTATAAACATTATGGCAAGAAAAAATAAAACATGAGGGTACGATGTGTTCCACCCTTTCTTTCCCCCAGCTGGAACTTTGTCAAGCAGCATTGGAGGTTGGTTGGGCTTCGTCAAGAGTCCTGGGCAGGGAGAAGAAGAAGAATGAATTATAACAGTTTAAAAAGTGAGGCGGATTTAAAAATGACGGGATTCAGCTTGGTAGTTCCACCACCTGCCTTGCAACCTCAAGGACCCAAGTTTGATCCCTGGTACCAAGAAAAAAAAAAAAATGAGGCTTGGACCAGGGCCCTGGCAATGACATGGAAAGGTTTATCAGGCAGAAAACTTTTCCTGGCATGGAAAGGTTTATCAGGCAGAATTAGATATAAGGGAGAATAGAAAAGACTCCAGCCAAAGTAACTGGAGGGGACTTACTCTGACAAAGGAGATTCAGACTGGCCTGGGCACAAAAACACAAGATCAGCTTTTAAGGACTACCAGAAGTGGGCCAGGTCCAATAGATTACTGTCTCAGCTGTCAGCTTCCATCGCTCTGAAGAAATCCTTATGGTTTGAGGGGCAATTTGTCTCCTGAGTTGATCTTCCTTGTGTGGGGGTTGTGTGTATGGCAGCCTCAGTTCCTGTCTTGAGATTATTGCTCTTGCTTGGGGGAAGATGATCTCATCAACAGGTGGTCAGCAAGATTCTCCTTTCTCTGGAAACTGATCTGGTTGTAGCTTTGAAGACTTCTAGCCATTGCTCCAAGGGTATCTGGAACTGGAAGTTGCAAAAGCTGGCAACTAAGAGTCCCTGAAAATTCCCCCTTATCTTGGTGTCCCCAGTTTTGAAGGAAGTTAAGATGAATTTAGGGCCAATAAACTCTATATTACCTGACACTCTGCTACCTGCAGAGCTGGGCAAGGGATCTGTCCCAAAGTTTTAAGATAATATGTGAGACAAATAATGGAGTTTCCTTGTCTCCTTTTTTATCTATTTTTATTTCTTGTATCCCACTGCGGGGTAACCAGCAGGGAAACTGTACTAACTCCACTTCTCTGAATTGTCATGACAGGGATTTCTTCATTCTTCTAATTTGTCATGTCCTTGCAAATCCAATTCAGTTCCATCCAGTTCATGCAGTTCAAGCTGACAGGCAGGACAGCAAAAGGGTTCATTGGAGTCAGACAGACCTGGGTTTGAGTCAGAAGCAGAGGAGGCTCCAGAATTTCTAGGAAGGATTGGTGGCAATCTGTGTAAAGGGGAACCCTAAAGGGGAACCATAGAACTTGTCTTAGTCACTTTCCCATTGCTGGGACAAAATACCTACGTCTTAAAAGAGGATAAAATTGGGATAATAGGTCTCTACCCCATAGTTTGTTTTGAGGATTAAGAGGGTAATATCCAAAAGCACAGGCCTTAGCACTAGGCGGTCGGAGGAATGGCAGAGCGCGCGACTGTGTTCGCACTTTTACTGCATCTGGGCCTCGGATTTAGGACTTACGCTGTGCTTGGGATAAGGGACTGGAGTTTCTTTTCTCCAGAAAATGCAATCATAGAGAAATGGCTCTTCAACCCCTTCAAACTCGTGGCCCAGTCAGAGCTTCTTTTTCTTACCACAGGCTTCGACCCTGCGACGCGGGATCCTCAATTCCTGTGGCTGTCCCGATACGAGGGCAGGGAGCCGGAGCCAGAGCCAGACTCGCGGACAGAAAGCGGTTGGAGCTTGTCCCAGAGTACCTGGCCTGGATACGGGACAATTGGCGGAGGCAGGTATCTGTTTCGCAAGATGAGGCGGGGATTGGAGGAGGGCTGGTTTCAGGAGGCGGGTCTCGTCCCGTATGAGGGAGGGGTGATGGAACAGACTGGCTTTCGATTGGGGAAGGTGGCACGAGGGGGCGGGCTTTTCTAGGGGCGGAGTATGCGGGGCGGCGGCGGGATGAAGAGCTAGAGGAAGCAGGCAGGGAAATGTCTGCCGCCGCCGGCTCCCGGGAGCGCCTCTTTCCAGGTCCGCCGGGCGGTGGGAAGCTGGGTCCGGGAGGCTGGGCTGAAGTTCTCTGGGGATGTCCTCAGCCCGGCAGGGCGGGGCAGGCCAATGGGAACCGGGTACCCAGGCTTCCGCAGGCAGGGGTTTGGGTGAAGCCTCGTTTCCAGCTCTCTCTGTTACCTCGGGCTGCTCGCTGCCCCTGTCGGGGGCTCAGTTTCTCCAGCCGAGCTTGCTCTTCAGTCATGACCTTGGCGAGTGTTTCTAGGGAGTGTGCCGTCCTGTGACAGAGCTTCCTTTGCATGGGGTACGGTGTACGTGGGCTTCTCCGTTAGTGCGCAGAGCTGGTCCAGGGGAACCTGCCCACCCTGGGACTGGAGGCTGGGATGAGATTACAGGTGAAAGGGACTAGTGTGATGCAGCACAAAAGACTAATTGTTGAGCAAGAGGTTGTGCTCTGAAGAGCAAGAGGCTCGGAGCTGAAATTTGGGTCAGTCCCGTGCTTTGCGAGGACCCGCAGACCTGCCTTTTATGGTCAGCTCTAGCGTGTTTTGTGGGGGTTTTTTTTGGTAAGGGCTCCTTGGTGGTTTTCCCCCGAGTGTGCCCATGAAGCACCAGTTTCGTTCGAGCTTTGGCACAACCTCTGGTACCTGTTTGTACCCTTTTCTCAGTCGCTTGCTAGGGATGAAGAGTCTGTCAGGTAGCTGTGTCAACTCGGCCCGCACTCTGCGCGCTCTTACAGGGCTTGGAAACTATGAGGGGCGTTGCACAAGAGTTTGTAAACCGAGAGGAAACTAGGCAAGGGCTCTTACACAGTGCTTCTGCTTCTCTTTTGTTGCAGCCACCACAAGATTCGATTGAAGCCCCTGATGGTGCTGATAGTTGGCATCTTACTTGGGCTTATCTCAGAGTTCACTTGAAGAGTTGATCTTGAGACAGCTATTGCCTCAGTTCCTATGACTTACTAGTCTATGGTACGGGATGGGTGAGAATTTGAGATTAAGAGCACATCCTCTCCTTGTCCTTCACAAGAGGCTACCAGAATCCAGATAATCGGTGGAGGGCAGGCCCAATTGCAGCACCAAGAGCTGGAGTTGGCCTTTTCAGCCAGTGTGTCAGAGCCAGGCTATTGGGGGTGGCCCATTCCCTGAAAAATCAGGTCAGCTGGGTCTGAAGCTAGCTATCTGCCCCTGGGTGAGAAATGTGCAGGGATTGCAGAACCTTTCATTTTCTTTCACAAAAGAAAAACTAGCCACATACTGGAGAGGGCTTATTGTGAAGGTTTTGGTTTTACTTTTAATTTAAAAGAATCTGTCCTCATCATAATTTCCACAGTAAGTAGAATTACACTAGTAACTGCTAAGTTCCTCCTGTTAAAATTAGTAAGAATGACACCAGATCCTCATACTTGAGTCATCTCTCGTTTCCAGAGATGCTCTGGCCTCGGGGAGGAGTTACTTCTGCAACAGGTGGAAGAAAGCCTTTGGGCCTCCTGTGGAAGCTCCAGTAGATCCAAGCCCCAAGGGAAACACGTGGTGGATTTGGTTCTTCTATACAAATGGCCAAAAGACCCACTTCCAATAGCCAACCCAAGGCTTTGAAATGCTGTTTGTGGAACATAACAGGAGAATTAGAGGAACCTCTCCTCCAAGGGGGTGGCAGGCTGAGAAGAGTCTGATAGTCTTTTTTTTTTTCGAGACAAAGTCTCAGTATGTAGTTCACCTGTGGCCTTAACTCACTGTGGAACCCAGGCCGGCCTCGAACTCTCAGTGATTTTCCTGGCTCAGCCTCCCAAGTTTACAGATGTGTGCCACTGTGCCTGGCTATTGATACTCTATTCAAAGAGGTAAAGAGCCTAGGGTCAGGCTGATGGGAAGATGGTCCTTGTAGGGGGGGCTAAGGGCAAGGGCACCTTATGACCTAGGTGTGTTGGGGGCAAGGTGAATCTGCTAGAGATTCACCCACTTTTCTTTGTTAGATAAAGGAAGGATCTCACTTTAGCAGTTCCCTCCAAAATGTCCCTTCTTTTCTTTGATTAGTCTTTGCTGAATTTAAGCATGTGGGATTGTAGTAGAAAAATGAAGTGAAGCTAGTTTCCAGTTGGAACCCATGTCTTCAAATTCAGATTGTGTCTAGGAGCTAAGTTGTGATGTTGAAGTGAGATGTATGCTTCTGGTTAAGTGGCCACCTGTTTATGATTCTCTTAGTCTCTTCAGCTGCTAAGACCTTGTGCTGGCCTTAAACTGATAGATACCTAAGGCAGGAGCTTTTCTGCTTCTTACTTTATCGCCCTTAACTTGAGTAGCTTTTTCTTTCTGACCTAGGAGAAATACTGTGTCTCATAATTGTTAGATCCTCTTACCCAGAAAACCTTACTGGGATTCCTGCACAGGACTCACTACTCATCCCAGTCACTATGTAAAAAGTCACTACGTGCATTTCTTCTGGGTGCATGCAAAGACCTGGAGCTGCATTCTGGAGGATTCTGAGGAATACAGTGGAAAGACAACTACTCAGAAGTCCCTTGGGGGCTATTCTCGGCCAATTTAATGAAGTGTTAATAGCAAACAAATTTTGGTCTTTTGCAACTTTTTTTTTTCTCCTATAGGTGATTCAAAGCAAGCCATCTTTGTAGTAACTCAAATTTTATTTTATTTTATTTTTGGTACCGGGGATCGGTACTTGTGCTTGTGCAGCAGGCGGCAAAACCACTTAGCCAAATCCCCGGCCCTATAGAAACTCAAATTTAGAATGGAATGGGTTATGAGTATTTTTTCCCCTGGACCCAGGAAACAAAGCCTTAAAATCTGCTTGGCATGTGAAAGGAAATGAATGCTATTTATGTCTCAGGGTAACAGAAAGGGTAACCTAGATTACCAGAGTAGGAACCAGAGAGGATGTTCGAAAAATAGCTCTGGGTTGTTCTTTTTTCTCTCTTTCATCTTGCTTTGTGGGTGTTAATAAATACAATCTGGGGGCCGGGGATTTAGCTCAGTGGTGCCGTCGCCTGCCTCGAAAGCACAAGGTCCTGAGTTCGATCCCCGGTACCAAAAAAAAACAAACCCAAAACAATCTGTATGACCAACATATCTTTTTAGCATGTATAAAATGTTTTGCTTTTGTTCATCTTAGAGGTAGAAATATCACCTATCATTTCTACCTTTGTAGGAAGTTCTTCAGTCTCCAATGAAAATTAACTTGTTTTGAGTCACTTTATTTCTTTAAACAAAACAGAACTGTGCTTATTTTTCTTCTTCCTGTTGTTGGTCCCCTCTCCGTTTTCCTTCTTTGTCCCATTTAACCTCACTTGTTTCTAGAACAGGAGAATCCCCAAAAGATTTTTTTTTTTCTTGTGAAAACTGTTTGTTTTGGAATTCTACAGTGGTTGTCTAGAACAAGAGAGGTTACCCATAAACATTCAATTAGAAGTGGCACTTTGCACAGGAAAGTCCTCAGGGACAGATTCAGGAAGAGGTAGGCATCAATATTTATTAGAGGAAAGACAGTGTTGGGGCATAGAAGCTAACTGACTTACATGTGATATTTTTGTTGCTTAAAATACATTGTAACACAAACCCAAAAACAAAAAAAGAAACACTGTAACAAAGTTTTAGACTTTAATAATGATCCATTTTTGAACTGAGCCTAGCAAATATGGATGAGAAAACTTTCATTGGAATATTGATGATGAGGATTTGAATAAAGTGTATATCCAAGTGGCCCGGATATTTTTCTCTATGCTCTTTGGGATATTAGACATGTCCCCTGAATGTCCTGTAGATCTATAAAGTGAGAGTAAAAGTCTGCCTCCAGGAGAGTCATGGAGGATTTAGGAATGCTAAACTAGCTGGAGGTGCTTTTGCTCAGGAAACACAGACATGGTAAATGCCACCCACAGAGCTTAGACGCTAGCTGCCCTCTTCAGACCTATCCTAAGGTGGTTTCTTTTAAAAAACTGTCCTTATTCCTTTCCTCACTCCATTTTCTTTTCCTCAATATAGTTCCTAAAATCCTTGGTCACCTTTTTCTTTTTTTTCTTTTTTTTTTGGTACCGGGGATCGAACTCAGGACCTTGTGCTTGTGAGGCAGGCAGCCAAACCACTGAGCTAAATCCCTGGCCTTTTTTTTTCTTGGTACGGGAGATTGAACTTGGGTCCTTGTGCTTGCAAGGCAGGCGGTGGAACCACTGAGCTAAATCCCCGGCCCAACCTTGATCATCTTGACTCTTCCCTTTGCTCTTTTTTTTTTTTTTACCCCCAGCACTGGGGCTCGAACTCAGGACCTTGCACTTGTGAGGCAGGCACTGTGCCACTGAGCTAACTCCCTGGCCCTGCTCTCCTGTTAAATAAGCAACTTTCATTCATTTTTTTTTTTTCTGCAGTGCCAATCCTATCTGCCACTTGTCACAGTCTTCATAGTTCATGCAGTATGCTCTCTTCTTCTTTCTTTCACACTGTGAGGATTGTACTGAGCTACATCCTCAGCCCTTTTTTTTGGAAACAGGGTCTTGCTAAGACACTAAGTTGCCTGGGATGTGCTTGAACTTGTGATCCTTCTGGAAATTACAGGCATGTGCCACAGCTGGCATATCCCATCTTTTCTATGTGAACTTGAGTATTAACACCACTCCCTGTTGCTTACAGTATAGAACTTAAATTCCTTAGTGTGTCATTTAAGTCCTTCATAGTCTGGCCTCAGCTCACCTGTCTAGTCTTATGCACCACAATCACATTCATTTCCTCTTTCTTCAAATTTGACTGCTTATATTTCTGGATAAGAGCCCTGTACTTTGCTACCTTTTTGTGGACTTCACATGAAGCTGCATTTGTATAAGCTTGAACTTGCTGCCCATGGCGTTTTGCATCCCCCTCTCCTTCCCAAACGCCAGTGTAATATCTTGAACATCCCTAGGTGCTCTTAATAGGTGTCTGTCTTTGATTCGAGTATAGAGACGCATATAATTTGTAGCCTAAACAACTGCCGCTTTCCCCTTAGAGCGCGCTTTCCACTCCCTTCCCCCGCTTCCTGGTTTGTTCTTCCCCACTTCTCTTTCAGCTGTATCTCCACACCACAGACAGTTCGCAGAAGGCCCACTGAAGGAGGGGCTGGAGGAAAGTCATCTCTCCACACCCTACTACTGCTGAACTACAGCTGTAAAGTAGTAACACTGTAGTCTTCCTCTTTGAAAACTAAACTAGTCATTTAGTCCTTGCTAACCTAAATCGGATTTGTGTAAGGTGCACATTGGATTTTGAGGCCAGGGCTCATACGTTTATAGTCTGTGGAGGTGTGTGCACCCATTTCAAATGTTAAAATCTGTGTACTTTTAGGGCCGGGGATTTAGCTCAGTGGTTCTGCCGCCTGCCTCGCAAGTGCAAGGTCCTGAGTTTGATCCCTGGTACCAAAAAAAAAAATCTGTGTACTTAAAAAAAAAAAGCCGTAAAATGCTGTGTTTAAAATGGTTGTGCAGGCCAAGGATGTAGCTCAGTGGCACACTGCCTGCCTGGCAAGCACAAGGTC